GTTTTAACTCAATGCCAAATGGTCTTTTTATGTGTATGGTTTTATGATAAAGTTTAAAATCTAAGAGGCTTTCAACCTTCATTACTTAATATCTTTTGACAGTTTTGCCTTCTTACCCTTCCACATGAATTGTATCAATTTATTACAGTCTTCAATATATCCTGCAGAATTTTTAATTGACATTGCATTAAATTTATACATTAACTTAAACAGCATCCTTTTTCTTACATTTTAGCCTTGGCAGTCAGGTGGAAGGTGTCTTTCCATTTATTCAAGTCTTTGTTTTTACAATTATGGTTTTATTATTTCCTTTGAATACATTTCTTTTGTTTTTGTTAATTTTAAAATTTTATCTTTTTTACATTTACTCACATGTGTATATGTTGTTTGGGCCACCTCCTCTCTCACCCCTCCCCCTGGTTCTAGGCAGAACCTGTCATTATTGTTAAAATTTTCAAAGCACTTTTAAATTAGTGATCTCATCCTAGTGCTGTAGGTCACTAGAAGGATTTAGATACAGCCCAGAATGACTGATCTATAAGGGAATTTTTCCTCCAGTATTTATCATGTTTTTTTAGTAAAAGCTTGACTGAGATATAATTCACACACCATACAATGCAGATATCTAAAGTGTAAAATTCAATAGCTTTTAGTATATTCAAAGTTGTGGAACCATCACTGAGGCCAATTTTAGAACATTTCCATCACCCCCCAAATAAATCCCATACCTTCCAACTTTTGTACCAGTCTTCAAGGCCTTGGCGACAACTAGTGTACTTTCTGTTTATAGATTTGCTCTTTTCTGGACATTTCATGTAAATTGAATCATATGACAAAAAAGGACTTTAAGAAGAAACAAATGCAACATTTATTAAGTCATCCCTATCTGTTAAGCACTTTATGTCATTTTCTTATTTAATCTTCAAAACAGTCATTTAAGTTAGGTAGTATTATTTCCCAATCTAGATAAGGAAATAGATAGCAGAGAGGTTGAGCAATTTTGTGCAATCATACTATTAGGATGTGCTAGGATGTTTTGACCAAATCTTTGACCATATACTTCTGCTTTCTGGTAGTCAAGAAATTTGAAAAACATTCCTTCCTTGCTCTTGACTCTATGGCTCTCAGTGCCTCTCACAAAGAGCAAACATCAGTAAGACATTTCTGACACCGAGAAGTGAAGGGCCGAGTGGTTTTTATAGAATAGATTCTCAGAGCCACAGAAATTTGCTCTTATAACTTTTCCCCATAAGATATTGAGAATGACTGGTGACCTTTGTATAGTATGACTCACAAGAGACATGGGAAATTAGAGCTCAAAGCTGGAAAGAGCTTCAGAGACCACCAAGTTTAGCTGCTCCATTTTATTGATGAAGAAACTAGGACCCAGAACAAGCAAACAATTCGCTCAAGATCATATTCATCTGCTATTAAAAAGGTGACTGTACCAATGGCAAAAGTCCATTTCAGAATAACCTCAGAAAACAAGTTATAAAGAGGGCAAAGTAGTGTTCTGAAAAGTCAGTGAATTAGGTCAGGAGATATAGGCTCCAACACCAACACTGCCACTAATTCACTGAAACAAGTCATTTGGCCTCTCGAGTTGTGTGCAAGTGTGTGTGTGTGTGTGTGTGTGTGTGTGTGTGTGTGTGTGTGTTTTTAAAAATTAGTGAATTGGAAGAGATGCTTCCTTTTTGAAGTCTGGAACTTACTAAACACTTAAAATTAATGAATAGGTAAATAAGTGAACTTTTACTTAAATTTTAAATGTTAGGCTATTTTTGGAAGACTCATGGTGAACTGCAGAACTAATGGAGTGAAAGGGGTAATCAACTTTTAAAAGAACAAGTACTGTAAATTTAAATGTCTCTAAGAACAAGTACATGAGTGTATTTTAAAAAAATATGAAAGGTCACCTCAACAAATAGGAGTGCCTGGGAGTCTCTACCGGGTAAATATCTAAGACACATTAGCTAAGATAATAATAAACCTGTCATGGTTGTCATCATGACAGTAGTTAATGGAGCATGTTTGGATGAAAGTATCAAATCGTTCCTTTATAAAGTCTTATTTTTGTATGTTTATTTCCTTTGGGAAGAAAAAGCAATTCAATCTTTTTTTAAAGTAAAAAAGATTTCACCATGTTTTTAAGACTAATAGTCACTTACTCATTCAGGTAATACTTATTGAATACCTTCCATGCACGCAGATGCCAAGAAAAAGTTATCCAAAAATGGGAAATTTAAAAAATGACACAAGAATGAGAGACTAACATTTTAGAGACCTGTCTTTCTTATAATCCAAGATATGTGAACAGCCTAGAGTTATTTGTTTAAGCCTTCATGGGTTGAACGTTTCTCGGTAGAGGCAGAGCAGATGATGTGTGTGTGGAGGGGGGAGCTGAGTGGGAGGGCAGAGAGTGTAGCTCTGTAAGCAAAAGCTGGAGCAGGTAGCAGAAATGAGCACATTGACGTGTTCCTCCTCCCTCTCCCACCTTCCAAGATGGAATAATAATAGGGATCCTTTCCATGTGTATTGTATCACCCTTCAGAGTTTACGGAGTGCTTTCACATTCATTATTTTATTTGATTCTCATGCCAACCCTAAGAGAAGCATAACTGGTATTATTTTTTTCCAATTTTTGAGATGAGAAAATATGGGACTCAAAGAGGTTAAGTGGGTTTTTTTTCCCACCACTGAATTACAATACAAACTAATGTTAGAAATAAAACCCACGTCTTTGTTTCTGAAAGCAGCTTTCTTTCCATTACTTTCATTCAGCCCAATATTTTCTCCTCCAATCTCTTCACTCAGAGGCATAAGTTGTGGAATGTTCCACTTACTGTGGTAGCAACAGGAGTAAACCCAAACAGGTTGGGTAAAGCAAAAAGAAGTGAACTATTAGCAACAAGTGAAAGAAAGACCCAGTTTTCATCTACTCTGAGAAAACTTTGTGAGGAGTTGGTGGGAGGTAGTAAGAGAATGCAGCATGAAGATTATATATTCAGCTATTCTCTATAAAATTGATTTCTGTCAATCTAAAACAATAGTAATGCATGTGCATAATATCTCTGCCTCCAGTTAGTGCAATTTTGAGAAAAAGGTAGTAAATATATAATTCATTCAAGAATGGTCATGAAGGAATGGAGAATATAACTCAGTAAGCAGCTAATATGTACCAAGTTCTTATAATATTTCATTTAATCTTCACAATTGCCACATGGCATATAGGTCCTATTAGTGCCCTTCTTTGACAGAGTACTACAAAGCTTTGGTAGGCAGAGTCCTAGGTCATGAAGCTATTGATGTCCTGATCAGGGACTCAAATAGGTCCATATATGGCTCCAGAATCAGAGATCTTAACTAGTAAACCATGCAACAAGCTAGTGTTCTTTTTCTTTGTTTATTTTTGAGACAGGGTCTCACTATCTAGCCTAGGCTGAATTGGAATTCACTATATAGCCCCAGGTTGACCTCAAACTCTTGACCTTCCTGCCTCAGGCTTCAGAGTGCTGGGATTATATATGTGCAATAACATGCATGTCTAAACTTGTATTTTTCTGATGATTAAAGTAGATAATGATTTTTTTCTTCTGTCCTTCCCTTCCTCCCTCCCTCCCTCCCTCCTTTTCTTTCTTTCTTTCTGTTTCTCTCTTTTTCTTTTTTCTTTTGCAATACTGCAATGGGGATGGAAGTCAGGTCCCCATGCATTCAAGGCAGTGTTCTCTTAGCTACATCTCCAGTCCATGATTTCCTTTTTTAACTTTTTTTCAGTACTGGGGATCAAACCTAGGGCTTCACACATGCTAGGAAAGAACTCTACTGCTGAGCTATACTCTCACTCCCATGGTTTTTTAAAAATTAAGATTGAGATTGCTCTTCGGAGGCCCTCTCTAGACAAATACAAGAATCTCTTCCAGATGCCATCACTGATGGCTACTCAGTGATCCAGAAGGCTGGGAGTTGGTTTAGATTTTATAAATGGAGATGGATCTTTATGAACTCAACCCTTCTATTATCTGGTGCTTCTCCCAGTGCAGGGCCCTAGCACTTACGCTAGGCAGCACGTCAGCAATCACAGACAGCCTTTGACCACAGGAGTGAGGGCTGGAACCCATTCTATTCGTGTTAGTACCACCTGGCCCCACCCATTTTGTTTCTTGGTCTTTTGCTCAGACATACTTGCTCTCAAAATCCATGAGGAAGCCACGGTTAGTTTTGTATCTGCAATCCCTTTAGTCCATGCATGGTCAAAGGAAGAAGTCAAGCGATGAGCACCTAGAAACTGCATAAATCCTGAGATGTTGGTTGCTCTCTCACAGGGTCCAACGTGAGCTCAGCTTCTTATGATCATTTAGGACATTCTGATTTGTGTGACAATCTTCAGTGAAGAAGTGACTATGGTCCTGGGAAACCCTCTGCTGACCAAAACAAATGGTGAGTATTGGTGACTTCTACTGTAGCTTAAATACCATCACAAATACTGAAGGTGTGGGGAGTGACTGTGTGTGAAAATGAAATTAGTTGATATATTTACTCTATTGTTACCTCATTTTCTACAATTCCCTAGGCATGGTTTTGAAAGGGGAGGGAGAATGAGATGAAATTCCACAGTACCAATATTTTTTTTCTAACAGTGTGTCAGTAAACAGCATAAGCCCTCACTCATTCATTCAACAAATATCAACTGTCTTTTGCCTCCTGGGCCTTTACTTCCTTTCCTATCTGTATTCCACTTGCTTTTTGAGTTTTCTTTGCCTCTTTTTTTCTTCCTATTTTTCTTCAGCAAAATTTTGTATGCTACGCGTGGGAAATGGCAATGCTAGTTGGTAAGGTGTTTAATGTGAGACTACATGAAGGGAGGGGTAGGATAGTGTCATCTGTTTTGAGTGGGACTGTTTTACCCACACCATTCAGGTTTTTCCTGTTTTTTTTTTTTTGCTCTTAAAGTATGTCTAAGGAGGCTTTAACAAGTCAAGAATAATTCTTAGCTTATATCGATGGAGAATTCATCTACAGAGACTGAATTTATCCTTCTTGGCATGACAGAAAATCCTCAGCTCACAATCCTACTATTTGGAGTATTCTTTATTGTTTATACCATCACTGTATTGGGGAACTTAGGCCTGATGGTCCTCATTCAAGTCAGCCCCCGCCTCCATACCCCCATGTATTTTTTGCTCTCTAATCTGTCCTTCCTTGATGTCTGTTTCTCTTCCATCACAACCCCAAAGACTTTAACAAATTTATTATCTCACCTTCAGGAAGTTTCTTTCCTGGGTTGTGTGACTCAAATGAGCTTGTTCATAATCTTTGCCTCTGCTGAATGTAATGTTTTGGCTTCCATGGCTTATGACCGCTATATTGCCATCTGTCACCCACTGGTCTACCACATTACCATGTCAAGAGTCCACTGTCTCCTCTTGATAGCAGGATGCTACCTTGGCGGGTTAATTAACATGGTTGCTGTAACAACTTCCATCACACAACTAACATTCTGCCAACCACGTGCCATCCCACACTTCTTCTGTGATATCCCGCCACTATTGGCATTGGCTTGTTCAGATTCCTGGGTCACCCAAATCTTGGTTGTTGGCTGTGGAGGATTCACCTTGGTCACCTCTGTTGTGGTGATTCTTGTCTCCTACCTGTCTATAATCATGACTATTCTGGGAATTCCCTCACCTTTTGGAAAACAGAAAGCTTTCTCTACCTGTGTTTCCCACTTGACAACTGTTGGCCTGTATTATGGGACAACTATGTACACTTATTTGCAGCCCTCTCAACATGGATCCCAGGCAGGAAATCAGATGATTTCAGTGTTTTATACAATGGTGATCCCCATGTTAAATCCTCTCATCTATAGTTTGAGAAATCAGGAAGTGAAAGCTGTGTTATGGAAAATTTTGAGGAATAGTCTTTAATTTTTATTGTGTATCTCAAGAATATAATAGATTTGATGGAGACTTGCTCACATTTTATTCAGTGTTTTCCTTGCCTGTAAATAAAGCCTCGTTAAGAACAATTCAATTGCTCTGGCTAAGTGTTTAGAAGTAGTTGTTTAGATAAACAGAAACTCAATAGAGAGAAATTATGTGAACAGAATAATGTATATTTTCTGGATCAATGATCTGATGAGAAATGTTTAAGAAGAAAATATTTAAGTTTATGTGTATAAATATGTTAATTTGACAATTGAACCTTTAGGATAATTCTAGTTAAAAGTTAAAATAATTCAAAGATAACAAGAAGGCTGGAAAACATATAATTTCGCTACATTATAGAAGAGAGCATTGATGGTAACTGAAATGCAAATAACTTCGTTTAACCACACATGTGCTTACATTAACGATTTACTCAGTATACTATAGGCTGAAGTAGGTTCAGACCATGTTTGTCATAAGGATTCAGAAAATGCTGTACCACCATTAACACTCTGAGACTGTGAAATGTGAGTTTCTACATGAATTTCTAGTTGCAATTATTGAGATTTGCAGAGATAAACTTTTACAGAGTGATAATCAGCCAAAAAATAGACTTGAGTTCAATAATCAGAATTTGAAGTTCCTGTACAAAAGACAATTGATCATTGCTTAGTGGGATCTCTAGTCCTGAATTATATCTATGATTTTTTTATTGTAAATTCTGAATGGACCTGGACCATGTCCATTGCTATTCTTGAATGTAGTTCTAACAGGCAATGTAAATGTTAAATATAACCCCAATTAATTCATTAGTCCATGGACAGTCATCAGAATTTGTACTGATGCAACAAATACATGGATATTGCTATCTCATCTAAATACGTTGAGCAATGGGGCTGTGAGTGTAGCTCAGTGATAGAGCACTTACCTAGCATGTGTGAGGCCCTGGGTTTCATCCCCAGTCACCAGCACCAAAACAACAAAAGAAACCTATCCATAAAACTATGTAATCCTATGTCTGAAGAACATAAAACCATAATGTTTTCTTACTTTTTACATGAGGAAACTAAGACCTAGAAGAGAAAGAGACCAAAATCCAACTAGCTAAATAGTCTCCTATCTCTTCTTCCTGAATTAACCTTGATCCTACCAAATCTACTTTTCACACAACCACCACAGTGATTTAAGTGTTAAGTCCAACCACATCAGCCCTCTCTTACCTTCACATTGTTTAAAAATGTTTCCATGTCTCCCTTTGTTGTAAGATAAATTCCAAACTCCTAATATGGCATATAAATCTCTCCCTTCCCTAAATCTTATTCTTCTTTAAAGTCCAAATGTAAATCTCATCTCTTTTTCTAGATAGTGTTTCCAATGTTTCAGAGAAATGTAAGAATTCGTACTGTTTATCCATTGCACTTGCACATCCATTATGGCCGTATGACACCTGGCCATCTAATGAAATACGTGTTTTTCTGAATTTTTGTTTTGCCCATCTAGACTTAAACCTTTGGAAACAGTGCAGCCATGTTTGGTTTATTTCCTCATCTCCAACTAGCATAAGTCCTGCTTAACTGGCAAAGGCTCAAAAAACATTGCAGAGTTGAAATTCACTCACAACTAACCTTCCTTAATTCAGTCCACATTCCCACCAGGAATTGTTATATCCTGTTGTGTAATGGAGAAAAAAAATACAACCACTTGAGGTATCAGATTCTAGCAGGATCTTCTGGTGTGGGTGTTTCTTGTCACCCCACAGTAGGGAATCTGAACTGCATTCACCTTAGCTTTCAGCTCTCCACTACCAAGTTCAATCACTTCTCTCTAGAGACTTGATCTTCTCTAATCTCTGGACCAAGGACATGACAGATTTCTTCCTGGAATAAAAAATCATCTTTTTGTAGGTTTTAAGGTTTAGAGACTTTCCAGATAAGAAGCTAGAGGTAGGAAGACCCATAGAGAGAATAGAGAATGATAGACTTACATTTTTTAGTCACTGGAATGATTTCTTTACACTTAAAATATAGAAAAAGTAAGTGTGCAAGAGGTTTGTAAGAAGAGAGTATGATGCACCCATCACTTGACTCCCACCTGTCCTTCCCTTAGGCATCACTCTAGAAACTCAATGACAGAAAGCAATAGATTAATCAAACTTGTCCTTTTCACAGTATCCCCAAGAGGCAGTAATATTATGGAAATAATTCAGCTAGTCAGTGGCAAACGCAAAACGAGAATTCAGACTTCCTGATTCATAACCCTAGATACTGTGTATTACTATCCTTTCATGTAGTACAATGTTTAACACAGCTGGGATCATGGGATGAAATGAGCCTCATCAGATTGT